GGTTTTTATACTGCAAAAATATAATTGTTTCCAGAAGAAACAGAATTTTATCACAAAAGAGAGAAAAGTTGGAAAGAAAATTATGCTGCAAAAAAAAGCATTGATATAACAACATTATCATTATTCCTTTTTAGGACAGTGAATTGTTGGAGGAAATGCATAAAACCCTTAAATCTTTAAAAGACACGTATTCAAGATGGGACATCCCACTTATGAATTTTGTCAATTAATCTATAGGTAATGAACCCTACAAATTGTGCAACAAATTTAACTTGCCCATAATCTTGATTTTAACTAGATTTTTTAAAAGAAAAAACCGTAAGATGTTTTTATGATAAGGAAATCATGGTATCATTAAGGGCTTCTACAAAAAGAATTACATGTTTTTGGTTCATTTTAGAAAAATCTCAAATTATCCAAATTCACACGCAACTAATACTTTTATATATACCAGTATGGAACATAAACAAGCTAAGTGCGACATCATATTTCGTGAACTGGCTACTATTTCTCTTACTATTTTTATTTATAAATTATTTATAAATTTTCCAAAGCTTAGATGACATATGAACTTTGCAATGAAATTATTCACATTCCATCTTGGCCATGGAATGACATTTACTGTCATTTATACTTTCTACGGATGATGACGGTGACAAAGGCAAGAAATTAACAAATGGGTTGGCAGAGAATTGGTTTCACTAGTCAACTTTAAAGGCCTCACAAGTACGTATCAATATATAATTAATAAGAATTTACCTTTTTTTGCCCTTTAATATTATCGAACACTGCCACTCCATAGTACCAAATTGACAAAACATAAAATATTGTTCTACCTTGAAAATAAATTTATATTAGGCCCTGTATGATTATGTTAAAAGTTCCATGGAAAATGGAAAAGAAATTTCATCTTTCACTTTAGGTATGTTTAATACATTAATTTCTCTTGACAATTCATTTTCTTGGTTTTGGCTCGCATGGTTCCATTTCCTTGTTTTTTATGAAAATCAATTACCAATAATTTGGTGGGATTTGGTTTTCCAGTCGACATTTTTTTTCTAATTTTTTTTTATTTTTTTGGCAATGAAAACAAATTATATCCCCAATTGTAACAAATTTTATTCCTTTAATTGACAATTTCCATGTAAAACAAAGCCAAATGAACACAAATAGATCTAAAATTTTAATATTTTTCACGTGAAAAATTATATCAATCAAACACAATTAATTGACAATTCCCAGAAAAACAATTCTCTGGAATTCATTTTCTTTCCACCCAAATTCCACTATCTCAATCAAACGGACCCTTATACATTTCAAGTAAAGATGGCAATCCCTCTAAATGAGTTTTTTCTTATTCGTGCGAAAAATTCACAAAACTCGTACGTTCTGTAAATCTCTTTCTTGATACTCTCAAAAATGACAAAATATCGATGATTTGCTAGAAAAATCTAATGTATATATAATATCATCATAATTTGATTTCCACTTTTTGTTCAATATTCTTGCATTTAATTAGGCTGTATGTACTAGAAACGCAAAACATGGCGCACAATTTTATAGTGGGATTTGGTTGGAAGAGAATATAATAGGGAAATATATACCGATAGAGTAAATATGAATGGGTACCAAATATTGTAAAGGAAATGGAATAACAAAGAGATGAGAATGGCTTCTAAATAATGATTGGCATGATATGCTTAGATGGTACATGTCTATCTTCTTCTTTACACTTTATTTCCTTCTCCATTTGGCAATATTCCAGTAAAAAAAAATTGTAATACGATTAAGATTCACAAAAAAGATTCAGTGTTGCTAAGGGTAAAAGCACACAACACTTAAATATAGAAATAATAATCAATAAACCCCTTCGGGGTGATCGAGTTGGTGGAGCGGGTAAACGCGAATATCAAAAGTCACGAGTTCAAATCATCTGTCAATACTTCCTCGGTCGAGCCCATCGCACCGGGTTTGCCTAGTGCGGTTTACCTCTCCTATATGTTTTGCGGACTACTGCACATAAAGCGAGGTTTACCTAGTACGCACTCACAGTGGTCGAGTCTCCACCCTTTGGGATGGTCGGGCCTCCACTAATGGGTAGCAGCTGCGGGTTCCTATGTCAACCAAAAAAAAAAATCAATATAAAAATTTCAGGTTCTCTTTTTAATCAAATTGACTTTTCAAGAAAAAATTAAGACTCATTATACAAAACGCTCAATCAAATAATTGAATTGTATAAAGTTCAAATGAGCAATTAAAGTCTAAGCGTGATATTCTCAAATGATCAATAAATAAGGACTTAAACTACTCTTCTTCACAAGATTGACATGTTATCATCGAATTCCAAAACTCAACAAATGACGTACTCTATCTTTATTCCCTTCTCATATTGAGAATGTCATCTCGGAACTCTTTTTTAAATTAAATCACAGAAATATTTTATCAGAGTGAAGTCTTTTCTAGTCTCTAGAATTATTTGATCTCACTTTATTTACAAATAGTTTCTTGTTGTAGAACTCAAATTCTTCATTTCCTTTAATAAACTCTCAATTATATATATGTATATATTTGTCAATTCTTTCTCTATCTGTAAATGTGTGGTCACATCTGATTCTTTGCTAGAAAAGTAACTTTTTTGAGGCGCAGTTTTGATTCTGTTTTTCTATTCCTCTCTCCTATTCCTATGTTGATAAGAATCTCAAAATCTCTGTTTAGTACATTGTATATTACTAACATCACATCACAAGAATCTTTTGATTAGGTAATCAAATTGTTCATTTTTTTCCCCTGCAAAACAACTTCTGTGTTTTTTTAACATTGTCTTAGAATTAACATCATATAGTATACCATTTGTGCATACTAATTCGTATCGGACTAAGAGCGCAGTTTTAAGGTATATTCGATATGTTCGACTAGAGATAAGATTATATAAATCAATTGAATAACTTTGTTTTGTGTTTTCTTTTAATTCTAAGACAATGTTAAAAAATAGTTCAAAAAAATGTAACATATGAGAATTCTACAAGAAATGCAAGGCATTTTAAAAATGATAAGATACAAAACGAGGATAAACTAAAGATAAATTAAGAGCAGAATGATTAGATGGTCAATACATGTTTTGCATAACTCAAAAGAGACTTATATATATACATATGAGGAGTACATGTTAAGAGATGAGTAAATCGAAACTAACGTGGTATGATGTGATTGTTGAGGATATAGATCTGCAATGAATCTAGCAAATTTTGACATCGACCAAACAATGTGTAGTAAAAATATTGTACAGTAAAACCTTTATAAAATAATAATATTGGGAGCAAGAAAAATTATTATTTAGACAAGTTATTAATTTATTGATAAATGAATAATTTATTAATTTATAGAGTATTAAATGTTGTTTGTTGCAATGGTGATGGTTCAGTACCTCTTTGGATTATTTGTAAGTTTGCTAATCCTAGATGTTTTAAAAATATGAATACGAACAATCTCAATTGTCATTATCGAGGAAATAAAAAAGTAAGGATGACTCGTTTACTTTTTGAAGAGTTCGTTTGTTGGTTTGACAAGATCATGAACGCTATCAATTTTATTAATGCGACTTGGAAAAATGATGTGAAGACAACAATTATTGCAAATTATTTTCGGCACTACGATATTTTGTCAGATGAAGATATTAACGTTGAACCAAAAGGTTAGTTAAGATGAAAACATCAATGAATTGCGTGGAGCTATTTCTGGTCTACGCTATAGAAATGTGATAGATGTCGAGCGCCTTGTCATATTAAAAGTTTATTAATTTGTATTAGTATTAACTTTTATGAATTTAAGCAGATATTATTTTATATATTCTTTGGGCTTTAAATGATCTAAAAATATATATATTATTATCGTATGCATTTAGTAGAGTTATTAATCTAGTACACTGGTCCAAGTAGGGACCAAAGAATTATATTATTTAAACGAGAATATTAATTTATTAAATATTCATTTGTCGAGGTTTTACTGTAGTCAACAAAAAATTCACTGAAAATGAGTTTTATTTTCTTTAATTCTATTAAATGATGTTAAGTACCCTAAACATGGTTTTCCAACTCATAAAAAAACCCTTGAATCTTGCTATGTGCACTTTGAAAGGGGATACAGAGAATAATTAATTAGGAAGAGAGGTAGAACATCACCGTACGTGTTAATTAGGTTACTCTATGAATTATGAGCGAGAAGTATAAGCACTATTGACACTAGCTCTAATGCTAAGTAAGTTGCGCCCAAATTATTTGAACAAAAGCTGCATAATATTTTATCTCCTTCTTTTTCACTCCATTACTTTTTCAAAAAGGGAACTTATATTAGTTAGAATTGAATCATTTGTTCAATTAACGGTAGCCGCAAAGCCCTCATTTCTATTTCGCCAATTTGATCACTCAATTACATATACGAGATCCCAAAGGGTCAAATAATCTCTCATTGGTTCCGACATACACATATCAAAATGAGTCTTGCGATTTTGGAAGATATTCTAGGGTAGAAATAGAGATGGCAAAAAACCAGCCCTGCCCCGACGGAGTGGCGTGGCGGGGTTTGCCGCCCCGTCTCGAGTCATGGGGCGGGGGGGAGATGCCCCGTTCTGTGAAGAATAAAAAAAAAAATGTTTTTGACATTTTCTGTTTTGGATATTTTTTGGTTCAAGTGCTTGTTTTAGATATTGATGTAATTAGTTTCAGCATTATTTGCTTTAAATTTTAAATTTTTGAATTTGTATTTGAACTGAAAATTTAATAAAAAAAAAAGGAAGGAAACGGGGCAGGCCTGCGCCACGTCTAAGGCGGGGCGGGGGAGTGGCGTGGCGGGCCCCGCCCCGAAGCCCCACCCCGTTGCCATCTCTAGGTAGAATAGTTGGGCTAGGAAGCATATTAGCATAATGTATAGAGTAGAGGAATGTTGGGACCAACGAAAATGTAAAAATTAATATAATAAACCATGAACACCCTGATTTATTCCATTTTAATAAATACTAAATGAATTGCATTTGATATTACTCTAGAGAATGAAAGTGAACAAATTTTATCCTGTTCAATATTTTTGGTTCCAAACCAAATCAACCCAAGCTTAAAACGACATGGTTTTGAATCCCTGCGAACACACATTAACACTCAAATCTATACGGCAAAACCCCCTAACTACCTAGGTTTTTAGCAGTTAAAAACAAAATTTTAGTATGGAGGTGGGTAGCAAATTCACCTGTCTCATCAAAGAATTAGCAGCCGTTGGGGCCGTCTCCATCAAGAATGTGCTCAAGAGAATAACCCAAATCTCTAACTTGCGCATCAATGCAATCATATAAGGGGGCTTTAGGCTTGCTTTCATATTCCACTTTTCACATATATTCTCCTCACAGCATTTATTCTCTTTATCTTTCCAAGCACATAAGCCAAGCTGATATCCAAACTTTCTCCATTAGCGAAATTTTCTTTTCAAAGAAACAGAATAAGACATTGTACATGGTTTTAAACGATAGAACTCCTATAGCACTGCTCATTTCATCCAACTCTCTCTAGTTCTATGTGCTACATCCTCTTCAGTTACTCCTCTATGTTATTAATAATCGAGAAGACCAGGGGCGGAGACAAAAAATATATTAGGTTGAGCTGAACTTTTTTTTTTCCAATAAACTTGTACACTAAAAAATGTTCTAAACCACACGATAAAACATGCCCAGCTAACTCATTATGACAAAACCATTCAAAACACACTGAACCGGCCAGTTCAACCATAAACCGATGAACTAGTGGCAGTTTGGTGGTTTTCCTGATTTTTTTTTTCTTTTTTTAGTTT